CTGCTTATAGAAAAATGCCAGCTAAAACATGTAGATAGAATTAGAGAATTAGAAATTCACCATTTTTAAACCCTAATGAAATAATCATCTCAAGCAAGGATGATTAATAAATGCTAAAACAATCAAGTAGATATTGATACAGAATATAACTGAATATACACTGTACAAAGTTCATGTCACAGACTACTGATTTGACCCAAGGGGGAATATAATGGAGGAGATAGGCAGTAACCACCCTAACCTTGTGATCATCTCAGCATCACTAATGATGGGATATAAATACACATTATTGCCTATGAAATATTCTTTAAAAAAAGAAGTTGAACCTGAATCTAACTAAACCTTGCAATGGGTTGAACGTGTACGTCTTCCCAAAATTAATGTGTTGAAATCCTAACCCCAAAGGTACTGGTATTAGAAGGTGGGGCCTTTAGGGGGTCATTAGGTCATAAGGACAGAACCCTCATGATTGGAATTAGTGCCCTTATAAAAGAGGCCCCAGAGAGCTAGTCTCTCCCACTATGTGAGGGCCCAGCAAGAAGGTCAATCTATGAACCAGAAAGTTGGTCCTATCCAGATACCAAAACTGCAGGTGCCTTGATCTTGAACTTGCTAGTCTCTAGAACTGTGAGAAATAAATTTCTGTTGTTTGTAAGTCATGCAGTTTTTGGTATTTTGTTATATCAGGACTAAAAGCCTTTAGAACTAACTTCCAGTTAACCAGAAAAACAGAAAACAGAGTGAAAAGTTAAATGACACCATAAAAAGCAACCGGAAAATTCCAGAAGGGGAAATATTCTACAGGACAACTGACTAGTTTTTCAACAAGTCAATTTCATTAAATAAATACATAAACAAAGAGTGAGGGTACTTTCTAGGTTAAAAAAGTATTGAGCTAAATAATCAAATGCAATGTGTGTCCCTTGATTAGAAGAAACTAATTTGAACAAACCAGCCACAAAAGATATTTCAGGGAGACCAAGCTGGAAGGATCACTTGAGGCCAGAAGTTTGAGACCAGCCTGGGCAACGTAGTGAGACCTCCATCTCTACAAAAACAATAAATTAGCCGGGCGTGGTGGTGTGCACCTATAGTCCTAGCTACTCAGGAGGCTGAGGCAGGCAGATCGCTTGAGCCCAGGAGTCTGAGGCTGCAATGAGCTATGATTGTGTCACTGCACTTCAGGCGGTGTGAAAGAGCAAGACTTTGTCTCAAAAACTAAAAGGACATTTCATAATAACTGAGGCAATCTGAATGTGGACTGGGTAACAAATGATACAAAAAAACGATTTTTTATTTTGTTTGAAAAGATGGTATTGTAACTATACAAGAAAATGTTCTTATTTTTTAGAAATCTGTACTAAGGAATTTAGGGGCAAAATGTGATTTTCTTCAATATATTTTCAAAGACAAGCAAAAAATAATCATGACACAAATATAGCAAAATGTTTACAATCTATGTTCTATTTTTGTCTATGAGGGCCATTAATCTCATCTCTCTGCTTTTCTGAAAGTTTGAAAATTTCAGTTTTATAAATTTTTTTACATTCCATAATTTTATAATAAATTTTTTAAAGTTTGAAGCAAATCAACAACTATAGCTTCAAAAATATCCAAAGCCACAATAAATACTGAACAGGGTATATTCCTGCCACTTTCTAAAAAAGTTGGCCCAGGAAGGAGTATGAGAGCTGCCATAGCTCTCCCAAGGCTCATTATTCTCCATCACTCCTTGGGAAATCCCAAAATAAATTTTTTAAAAAATTGTTTAAATTTATGTTTTTTGATTCTACAATTTTATAATAAAATAATTTAATAATGTTTTAATTGTATATTTTAATTTATAAAAATTTTTATACATGTTTATGTTTGAAATGTCTATTTCAAACTTTATGAGATATTAAAATATAAGTAATATAGTTTGTCATTTTAGAAATTCCATGTTTTTCTTCTCTTCCAGCAATTACATAATCAAAGAGTAACTATAGTTTTTCATAGAACATTGTTTTGTAGGCTAGGCACGGTAGTTCATGACACTTTAGGAGGACAAGGCAGGCAGATCTCTTGAGATCAGAAGTTTGAGACTAGACTGGGCAACACAGAGAAACCCTATCAGTAGTAAAAACACAAAAATCAGCTGTGCGTGGTAGCGTGCACCTATAGCCCCAGCTACTCAGGCGGCTGAGGTGGGAAGATCACCTGAACCTGGGGAGGTCAAGGCTACAGTGAACCAAGACTGTGCCATTGCACTCCAGCCTGGGCAACAAAATGAGACCCTGTCTCAAAAAAAATAATGAAATTTAATTTAAAAAAAGAAAATTGCTTTGTAAAATTAACTTTTTCAATCAAAACCAAGATTTTTCAGATACAAAGAATGCAGCCCACTGGTCAGATTTGTCAGTTCAAAGAGAATAAATTCTAGTTTTCTATTTTTCTAGCCTGTTTATGACTATCCAATAGGATATCAAAAAAGACCAAAGCATTTGGAATACAAGTTCAGTACTCCTGAGTCTAACTCAACGTGCCAAATCAGGAGACAAGCACATTCTTATCAATTTTCAATCATTCAAGACCAATTTTGCTTATAATTATCCATTTATTTTAGACCATCTTTCTCCTGAAGCCAGCCTTATGGCTATTCATTTCACTTTAGCATAAGACCCCCAGAAGGAAAACAAAATGAGGAAAAGATTGGTTAAAATTGGCTGTTTGAAATTCTGAAACATGTCCACCATTCCCTTCGCCTATGCCCACCCCTCTTAGAAGTAGTACTTTCAGACTATTTAAGACTCGATGCTTCTATGTGGATTTTAATTTGTCATCTGTCCTTTATAACAGCTAGTAGGTTAAATTTGACTCTATTTTAAGCATAAGTGACCTATGCTAATTATCTGCTAAAATAAATTTCACTCTTAGAGTTAATAAAGTGTGTTTGTCATAGAAGACCCATTGAAGTAAGAAACTGAGGAGTCCTTATGGTAAAGTGGGCCAAGAAATAAGACATAAATTTTCCCATGCAAATCAACAACTGTAGCTTCAAAAATATCCTGACACACAAGTATTGTTCAGGCCATGTTTCTCTCACTCCCTAAAAAAATTGGCCGGGGAAGGAGTATGAGAGCTCCCATAGTTCTCCCAAGGCTCATTATTCTCCATCACTCCATGGGAACAGCCTTGTCAGAAAAGAGTGAAAGACCATTTGTCAACCTCTCTTCAACTCCCTGATTCTAGCCAACCTTCATCAATCCCAAGTGAGCAGCCAGAGAGAAATACAAACCCCGTATCTCCAGCATCATTGTCTGCTGGAGTCAAAAATCACAATTCCACCACCCACCCCAACACCACTGGCCCTGTTTCTCCCAATTGTTTTTTATTATGTTTTTTAAAAAATCCTCTTTCCCCATCCCTGAGACACTGAGGAGGGGAAATTATAGTAGATAAATATGAAGCATGGAGATCCTTTAAAATTGTTTTTAATAATAAACGAGAAAATGAAAAGAAGAGGGTTGGAAGGAAGGAGAAAATTCAAATGCCAGGGAATTGTTCAGTTTTGCTTTTAAATATGTTAACACTCATTTATACATCTGCAAGAGACTTTCCATTAAAGAAAAATTCTGTGAGTGTGGGTCTGGTAGCATGAATAAGGATGAAATTACTTTTTTAGACAATGTTTTCCACAGATAATTCAGAGACCCCTGAAATTAGGTATCCCTCTTGTAGATGTCCTTGAGATGCTGCCGGACTTGGGAAAGAGGAAACTGGGATATGGGGCTATACCAAAAGGTGCTTCTAGTTATAGGACAGTGAGGAAAGGGGCAGTGGGAGAAAAATCCGAAGTCTGAGAATCTGGATTGCAAAAGAAGACTACCGAGGTCGTGGGAGAAGGGAGAGGAAACAAGGATGAAAACCGAAAGAGGAAGAGGCATGAAATGTTGTCAAATGCCAAAAGGCATTTGGAGAGAAGTTGGGAATTGCATTAAGAAAACCACTGCAAATCTCATTTCAGACCATTTAGAGATATGCCTCCCGGGAACTGCGAGCTCAAGCTGTTTAACATCAAATTGATCCACTCCATCCCTACCCTAATTAAATAAATCATTCAATCAATAATTCCACCGGGTTAAAGAACCAAAATATTAAAAACCTTCAGGGCCCACTCTTGCCAAATATGTCAGGGATCGTGTGTGTGTGTGCATGTGTGTGTTCTGTGACACCACTACTGTTAAATAAGCAGAGCTGAGACTTAGGGGATTGGGAGATTATTGCAAAAAGGGCATGGGCCAGGGGGACTTTGTTGGGAGCCTGCGAAAGAAGATTGTGTGGGGACGGTGGGCAGCGAACGTGTTGGGAACAATATGGAAAACCCGGAATTGCCTTGGAAATGACAGGGCCGGGCAAGACAATGTCCGAAAGAAAAATGAGCAGGTGCGGGATGTGGCCAGAGTCGGAGAAGAGTCTGGGGCGCCCGGAGTGGCTCCAGGAACGACGGAGACCCCTCAAGGTTTTTGGGGGCGGTGGGTACTAATAGAACCCGGTGTCCGGGATGCGCCAGGGAGGCTGCGAGTGCGGCGGGGGTGGGGCGCTGGAGGGTGAAGAAGCCGGAGTGAGGTAGTGGAGCCGGAGTGAGGTAGTGGAGCCGGTCGGGGGCCTCCCAGCTGGGCCCGGAGGCAGTGGGGGGACATAGGCTAGGAGAGCGCATGGCGGCGGCGAGGCGGGAAGCGAGGGGCATCCGGTCACTCACCCCGTTGGCCGCGGCCATCTGCACCACGATCTCGATGGCCGTCCTGCTAAAGTACCTGCCGTCGCTGCCCACCACCATGGTGCAGCCCTGGCGGTCGCGCAGGTCGATGGACGACAGCACGCTCTGGATGAAGTTGGGCAGGTAGTTGCGCTGGCCCTCGAAGAGGCCGGTGGGTCGCCGCAGACCCCCGCCGCCGGTCGGCCGCTGGTCCTCGTAGGGCGCAGTGGGCACCGTCAGCACCGGGATGGGGCTCCCCTCCATGGCGCCTCCTGGCCTGTCTTGCTGCGGCTCCCTGAGCCCGAGGGAATCTGCAGCCTGCCGGGGAGCCCCCACCAGCCTGGCTGCGTGCCGGGACTCCGCCTCGCGCCCGGGCCCCCTCCCCAGCAGGTCGGCGCCCTGCGCCCTGCACCCGCCCGCCGGGGGACCGCCCGCCCCTCCTTTCCGCGAGGCCGCTCACTGACTCCCTCAGCAGAGTTTGCTTCTGGCTTCCTATAAAATCTTCTCCCGCCCACCTTCTCTGCTGCCAGACCGCCCGAGGTGTCCTCAGTTTCTTCCCAAGTTGGACTCACTTTTGGGGTGTCCCAAAAGCCCGATTCCAGGGCCTGCTAGCCCGACCCCAGTGACGCCTCCACCCGCGCCTGGCCCCAGCCTTCCCCCACGATCGCCGCCCTCCGGGGCACACCCTCCGCCAGAAAACAGCCGGCGGGAAGGCGAGACTTTGGGCAGAGTCAGGGTTCCTCTCACGCGCCCGGCCCCTCTCCAGGTCTCCCTAGGAGTGCGCAGCCTATACGCACCAGTTTCTCTTCAGAACAAGGACAGGGAGGGAGTTGGGAGGGGGCTGAAACCTTTTGCCATCAGCAAACAGCCCCAGCCAAAAATAACCCTGGAAAGGCGAGCTGAGAATGGTTATCTCCTGCCAGCGCTGAAATCGGAGGCTGGGCGCTGCGTGTGGTGTGTGTGTGTACCCTCCCACCGCGACCATTTGTTGAAGGGAATCACCACTGTCAGACTTCAATCCAACAGGACCCACTGGAGCCATCCACACTTTCCCCAGCCTCTTCCAAAACAGCACACTTTCCGGTATGGACAATTCTTTTCTTTTTTTTTTTTTTTTCTCACTTGTTTGTTTGTTGTGGTGGTTGCAACAGCAGCAACACAGACGACACGTATTTCCCTATTCTTCCCGCCCTTCTCACCCTCCCTACCCAGCTCCTGCTTTAGAAACAGGCTTGTCCTACCCTGTATTTGTCCACACTGTCTGGACTCTTAACTGAATTAATCGTTTTCAATAGGAGGGGGCTAAAACCCTTATTAATGTCCTACCAGGAGTGAACGAATAAAACCAAGTTAAAAGAGAACTGGGTACCAGGTACTGTGCTAGGTTCCTTTGCATGTATCCTTTCATTCTGTTGGAGCTAAAGATTTTCTGCCTCCTCTCCATAAAACTCACCAAAACTCCAAAACCAGGAAATTCTCCATAGAAAATAGGAGTGAAGAGAGAAAAGACTAACAGGATAAAAACCCAAAGCAGGAAGAAAGTTCTATCTCCCATTTCTCTCAAAGAATTTTTGGACCCACCAAGGCTACCATCCCTGAAATATCCTGCTGCTTCTCCTCCCCAAATATTGTCCACTTCCTGAGAGTAAGGCTGACTCGCCATAGGGTTATAAAGTGTTTGGTCACAGTAAGACAACTGTGAGTAATAACACACATTGTATACTGTTTTGCAATTGATAAAAGGCTTTGCATCTGTTTTTTCTTTGCAGACTGAAGAAGAATGGTATTCATGTAGTTCCCATTTTACAGATGAAAACAGGAGGACTTTTTCTGTGAAGTCAAGAAAGTGGTTACAATGGTACTTTCAGCCTGTCCGAATTATATATTGCCCCTCCCCTTTTTATTAATAACATTGAAATGTGATGGGGAAAACATTGAAGCTGTCAGTTGAAACCGGCTGGGACTTTTTAGCCATTCTCTTCAACATAAAGAATGGGTGTTTTTGGAGGGAGTGAGAGGAATGGAGAAATGTTGTCAAAGAGTACAATGTTTTAGTTGAGACAGGAAGAATATATTTTGTTGAGATCTATAGCACAGCATGGTTACTGTAGTTAACAATGAAACATTATATATTTCAAAATTGCTAAGACAGTAAATTTCAAATGTTCTCACCATAAGAAAATACGTTTTGAGGTGAATATATTAATTCTCTGGATTTAATTATTCTACAATGTATACATATATCATAACATCACATTATACCCCCATAAATACATACAATTTTAATTTGCCAATTAACTTTTTTTTAAAAGAATGGTATTGCAAGTCGGGGGAGGTTGTTTTTGTTTTTGTTTTCCTCTAGTCTCTACTCAATCTCCAACATCCCATTCCCCATAAAGTTCCTGTTACCCAGCTGGAGTGCAGTGGCACAATCATGGCTCACTGCACCTTCTCCCTATTGGGCTCAAGCGATCTTCCTGCCTACAGGTACATCGCACCATGCCCAGCTAATTTTTGTAGTTTTTGTAGACATGGGGTTTCACCATGTTGCCTAGGCTGGTCTCAAACTCCTCAGCTCAAGCAATCTACCTGCTTTGGCCTCCCACAGTGCTGGGATTACAGGTGTGAGCCACCAAGCCCAACCCATAAAGTTCATAAATTTTTATCTCCCTGGGAGTGCACAGCCTACACACACCAGTTTCTCTTTAGAACATACTTGAGAGTCTTGGTTTAGCACCCAACAGACAGAACCTGAATACTTCTAGGGATCTGTGCACATCTCTATGGTGTGGGGTTTTTAAGATCTCTTTTTAATGACATTTTATTTTGCAAAGCAGGACAGTTTCATTCCCAGAAGAGCAGGTATGGTAAGTCCTTTGTTCCAGCAACGAAGACAATGATCCAACCCCTAAGCCTCAGAGATGCCCAGAAACCCTCCAGGCCTCCATCTCTCTGCTCCTAGCACCTGCCTCTCTGTTGACATCAACAGCATTCTCCGCTCTCACAGCCCAGCTCCTTCCACAGACCCAGGGACTAGGCATCAGCATCTCAGACTAGATTTTAGAGAATTGCCATTCAAGAGGCAATCCTCTTCCCTTGGTTCCAATTTCAAGGTTCTCCAAGACTGGAACAGGGTTAGTTTGAGGCAATATGCCCCACCGCATAGCCAGAAAGAACCTCACAGTGAAAAGGAAAACAATTCTTCCCAAGTAAGGGGGTGCTGATCCCGAGGGAGGAGAGATGGGCAACCAAACAGTAACTGGGCCACCATGTACTTCACACTCACTGATCAAGGCTTTCTAAAACTATTTTTCTTTTCTCTGAATTTATATAGCACTTGTATCACTCATAAAGGAATGTTTTATAGGCTGATAACACCTTTCTATTCATGCTTATACCTAACGTTTAAGTTAGGATAATTTCCTAACCTCAGAGTCCTCACTATAAAATGGGAATTATTATAATCCCTACCTCATACATTGTTGGGAGGATTAAAATACTTAGTAAAGTGCCTAATAGAAAGGCATTCAACAAATGTTAGCTATTCATGGTGTCTTCGTCATTATATTTACCATTATTACTAATCTCCTGTATTGCAAGAATTACAGTTCATATTTTTGTAGACCATCACTGTAGCTAAAGGGTCTTTGGGCATAGGTGATATTCCATAAAGGTTGGTTAAACTGATCTGTGGTTTTTGACTATGGAAACTCAAAATTCCCTCGAAATGTACAAAAGAGGTTTACCTGCTAAATAAATCTCTTCAAAACTGACCCTAGGTTTAATTGAATTAATTCCAATGAATTTGTCACAATGATGGAGAAAGGAAACTGAGAGGGCCCCACAGTTGTTTGCTGGTAAAATGAGAAGTTTGGATTAGATCAGTGTTTCCCAAAGTATTTTCCTCAGAATATTAGTGCCCCTCAAATCCTGCACAAAGCGAGAGTTTCATGACCAAGTAGCTTTTAAAATTCCTGTACACTCTACTCCCACTCTTCACAATGCACACTTTCGTATTAAGAGTTCTGAGAGTTCTCAATAGACATCATTTTTTTTTTTTTTTTTTTTTTTTTTTTTTTGAGACAGAATCTCACTCTGTCACCCAGGCTGGAGTAAGTGGCCACTCCTGGCCTAAACATTTTTTAACCTGGTGCTTCCCAACCTAAACTCACAGGGACCAGTTTTCTTAGTGAAAGAGAATCACACTGGCTTGTAACCACCGCTGGTGACACTCCCCTGCCCCACTCCTTGTATGTCCTCAGTGGACTAGGTCAGGAACAAATAAATTTTCCTGATTCTCAAGGGCTGGTCATTCCTTTGCACTGAGCTCAGAGCTTCTCTGTAGCATTGGGTCACAATGAATGGTAGCCCTGATGGCCTAGGGTAGCCTTTCAGCCTTCTCTGAGTCTCTAGAGACTGAGGATCCTTGGCATGAAAAAGGAGCAATTGATATATCCTTGCTTCCCCTGGGGACTCTCTTGCTCTCAAAAAGGCATCAGCCATCATCTCCATCTAGAGAATATACTAGCTGACTCAGCTTGACCAGTCCGTCCCAAAATGAGAATCTGGGTAAAGTAAGTGTTGAAACACTTCATTCCTTGTCTTGTAGATTCACAAAACACATTAGCATATCAAAGACTGTGAAGTTCTGCAGGAAAAAAAAAAGAAAAAACCTATTTGACTTCAATCCAACATTGCCAAGTTTTATTTGACCATGGAGGATTTTTCCAAAACACTTACAAACAGATCAAGGACATTAATCTTTCATGAAACACTTTAGATACCCAGAGTCCTCTCCAGTTACATCATTCTGTGATTTTCTTTTTTATTTATGATGCATTAAAAGATTAATCTCTGTCAGACTTCCATTTAGAAATTCACCAGAATGTGCAAAGGCAGCAGGTAAAATTGCTAAAGGGCATTATAAAAATACTCTTCAGTGATTTTTGAGACTTAATTGAAATACTTATATATTTCAGTTTGTATATGTATGTATATGTGTATATATATATTTGTGTATATATATCTATATCTATGTATATATGGCATTATATCCATTTTACAGATGCAGAAACTGAGCTTTAGACGGGGAGAGCAATTGGTCCAAAGCCACACAGCACACAGGTAGTCACTGGTAAAGGTGAGAAACAAAGAGTTGAAACCTGAGGTGTAAGGACACAGAGACAAGTATACAAATGTTTACAAGTTACACATATGACACGTGCCTTTAACATGAATTTCTTGAACATTCATTTAGAGACCTTACAATGAAGACATCAGAGTGGCAGCAAGTTCTGTTGGAATCAGGGGAGCGTGTTCTTCCATACTCCCCTGGCTGACAGGAAAGCACATCGATTTGGCCCATGGTAGATATACACTCCCATTGAGTCAGGGGCCACTTCTAGGCACACAGGAGGTACTAAAAATATGCTGTTAACTCATAACCTCTAAAAGCAGAAGAAATGCCAAAAGTATAAGACAAGAGGCAGAAAATCACACGGAAAATGTCACAGGGCAGTCCTCTAAGGAAGTGCTAGATCCCTTCGAAATTTGTCCAAACACTTTCTGGTGCTGGGGAAAGTCAATTATATATTTCAAGCAACCCCACATGTCATACAAGTATCTTGTAAATGTTTGTGTACTTGTGTGTGTGAACTTACATCTCAGACTTCAACTTCTTGCTTCCCACCCTTATCAATGACTGCCTGCATGGCCTTGCACAAGCTGCTTTCCCTCTTCAAAGCTCAGTTTCTGCATCTATAAAATGGACATAATGCTACCTAACTCATGGGGCTCGTGATCGCATTTAAAGAGCTAATATGTGGAAATTGATTGCACAGTACCTGGCACATAATAAGCGTTTAATAAGTGTTTGATGTAATTGTTATGATTATTACTACTATTACTAACATAATAATTACTACAATAATAATGATTCTTATTCTCTATATTAGTATTATCTTTGAAAAATAGGCAAGGATTATGTCTATGTAACCCTTTTGGCACAATATCTAGCATTATATCATATACAAATTAGAGAATTCATGTTATTAAGGATGAAAAAACATTTTTACTGACCCTTAAATGCTTTGTAAGTAACTGCAAAAGAAGCCATTATCCCAACACATGAAACAAACAAAAAAAAATCCGGTTCCTCTGGAGTTTGTTTTTGGAGGTAGCCACAAGATACCTAAATTTTTTTTTCTTTTCAGAGAGACCGAGGGGCTCACTATGTTGACCAGGCTGGTCTTGAACTCCTGGCCTCAAGCGATCCTCCCACCTCAGCCTCCTAAAGTGTTGGAATTACTGGCGTGAGCCACCACCTCCAGCCTACCTAAAATATTGAATGCTGTTAATAAATCTCCTGAGGCCAGCATAAGAAGTTGATGGGCAAAACTAATGCAGGTATGTTTTCCTGGCTTCTTTATGTATTGGGCCCATCTTTGAAAAGCACTTACTGTTAATGGCTAACTTGCAAAATTTGTGATTTATTAAAAGCAGATTTTAATTGTCTTACCTAAAAATAATAGCCCTCTGGTCTGCCAAAGATGAAGATTTAATTTCTTGGTGTTATCTACAATACCTAGAAACATCAGTGTAATCGATTATTAAAAACTTTGGAAATATTCTCATCAAAGTTCTTTATTTTATAATACAGCAAAAGAAAAGTTTATTTTCTAAAGGCATCTCTATACTTTTTTAATAGTTGAATTTCATTTCTGAAGCCTCCTAAAAAGGGTATAATTTAGATCTTTATTAAAGAGGAAATATATTTTCCATGTTTAATTTAAATTATATTCCATCAGTCATTTGCAATCTTAGCCTACACAGAATTTTTTTTATTTTTTGGTAGTTTTTATGTTTGGGCTTTAGGAGGGAATTCCCAATAATCTCTATATAAATATTTTAACATTCCAATGTAAATTAGTTTTTTAAAGTTATTTTATCCATAAAAATAATGAATTTCCATGGCTAAGAGTGAAATAATGTGTTATCAGGACCCCTCAGTTTTGGGAGTTGTGAGTAGATCCCATCTTTATGTTCCTCCAGCCCAGCCCAAGCCTGGCTTAGGTCCTCCTCCCCCATTTATCAGGAACCACCATCCCCAGGGATTCTATGTGGCCTGCCTGACCAGTGTTCTCCATCAGATTTTACCAATCTTTTGTTCATTCCC